GAGCAGGGAGCCCGATGCGGGACTCGATCCAGGGACTCCAGGATCATGACCTGAGCCGAAGGCAGTCGCTTAACCAACTGAGCCACCCAGGCGCCTGGTCTTGACTTTTTATCTGTAGAAAATCTTTGAGTCCCAGGTTGAAGATAGGTTGCTCCCAAAAATACTGGTGTTTTTTCTACCAGGCATCTGGAGATAAAGTTAACCTATTACCACTTTAAGATATCTTTTCAACATGAAGCTCTTCGAACCACTCAGGTTGTATGAATTCACAATAAAAATCTACATTAGGGTTAGTTTGTGTTTACAAATTCCTGTGAGAGATTTATATTTTTCCCTCTACATAGCACCAAAGTTCAAAACCAGTAATTTTCTTTTGTACCTTGAGAGGTGTTATTTGAATTTTACACATACTAGGTGTGAATTTCACACATTTACTGCATGTGCAGCTCTTTGAGATGCAGCTTCATGCAGGTGAGTTTCCTTTCAGACTCTCTCTCCCGAGCCCTTCATGGCTATGAAATTTAAAGGTCAAGTTCATCAGATTTGGAAGGTACCTTCAAGGTGAGAATTGGTTTCAATGCTCTACTTATTATTGGGGGTTCTTCCTTTTACTTCACTTTTTTAAAGATTTAGTTTGAAATAATTACAGAAAAGTTACAAAGACAGTAAAGAGAGAGTTTATGTTTCTCTTTGGCCCATTTTTAATAACAATGACACATCTGTAAAAACTAAGAAATTAACATTGGTATAATACAATTAACTAAACTACAGACCTTATTCAGATTTCAGTAGTTTTCCACTCATATCTTTTTCCTGTTCTTTCACTTGAGTTTTGTTCTCTGCATCCTTCCCACTTTTTGTCCAGCTCACTGATGAATTTTAAGATTTTTTTTATAAGTTAAAAAAATGTTTACTTATTTTCAGTAGGAGAGTTGTCAAAGTACCTAGTCCAATACACTTCTGGAAGAGAAGTCTGGGGAGTTTTATTTTTTTTAATAAGTTTCCCTCAAATGATATTTATAATCCTGGTTACCAAGTCCAACGTGTCTTCTTATGCTTGTGTCCTTAAATTTTTCTAGCCTAGAAATGTAGGCATTATTTTTATTATGGTAAAAAAATATTTGATAATATTTTAAGAGTGAGACTAGAAAAGAAATCAAGAGATAGACTGAGAGTCTATTTTAATACTACAGGTGGGAGAAAAAGTCAAGAGCCTTAACAAGGCTGTTGGTAGAGGGAAAGGAAGAGAGGAAATAATTTGGAGTTCACTCAGGAAGCAAAATAATAGAATTTGGTATTGAATGGATGTGGTAGGACAAGGAGAAGAAAGAGAAAACTCAGGGATTTCAAACCAAAGATTTTGACTCTTGAAGATTTTCAGAAGTCAAAAGGAAAAGCAAGATTGCAGAAGATGATAGTGAATTTGTTTTTTAATGGATCTGGTATTAATGGTTCTTTAGGGTGGAGATGTCTAACAGGCAGTTATAATTGAAAGCCACAATTTTGAGAAAGGAGTCCGAGCTAAAAGGAACAGGGTGGTGATAGAAAACAAGAGATTAGAAAGAGGAATAAGCAATGTAGAAGAATTACCTACACAGAAACTAAGGAAGGACGCGGTGATTACGGAAGAGGGAAGGAGGCCTGATCAACAAGTGTGCTTTTGCCACTACTTGTGATATTCAAAGGCTTAATTTCAGTACCCCTTTGAGATGCTCTTATGAATCTTCTGCACTTACCTCCACCCAGAGGATTACAAACTAAACTTTAAGATCCATTTATGTGGATTAAACTATTAAAATGTTCTTTGTGTTTTCTTTTCAATTTTCTAATATGTTTTGTACTATACCATACTTGAGACATTACCTTCTACTTAATTTGGTTTGTTCCTATCAGTACTTGAGACAAGTAAAAGAAAAATCTAGCCAGAACCACAAATGTGTTGATTTTATGGCATATCCCAACATATTTTCCCTTTTTTTAGGAAAAAAATACTGTCTAGTGTTAGAATTTAGTCATAAACTTTGGAACCATAATGTGTAATGTTTTATGATATTTATGACTCCACATATGTTGTTACTATTTCATGCAAAAGTAATACTTACCTTGTGTGTAGTGTTTGTAAATTGCTGTTAATGGTAAAAGTAGTATCTAGTGGCAGTATATATATTGCTAAAGAGAAGAAACAGACTAAGTTGTGAAATACTATTCTCTGAGCCAGGAACTGCAATTTAGGAAGAGTATTAGGGTCTTGACTCATTTGTTGGGTTTATGGTTTTCAGGGAATTAATGCTGATTTCACATCAGAAAAGCATCGAACAGCTGCAGGAAACCCTTAGACAGAAGCTGCTGAACGATGATAACTGGAGAGAGAAGGTAATGATAATGTAGCTTTCATCAGCATGTGTCTTATTTGCTTTTTAAAAATTCTATCTGTTTGGGGCGCCTGGGTGGCTCAGTCGGTTAAGCGCCTGCCTTCAGCTCAGGTCATGATCCCAGGGTCCTGGGATTGGGCCCCACACTGGGCTCCCTGCTCAGCCAGGAGCCTGCTTCTCCCTCTCCCTCTGCCTGCCGCTCTCCCTGCTTGTGCTCACTCACTCTCTCTGTCAAATAAATAAATAAAATCTTAAAAAAAAAAATCATATCTGTTTGCCAGGAGACTATTCCAGATATCTTGGCTTCTATGCACATTTTGATTCCTTCTGGAATTTCCTAGACCAAACATGCTTATAGTGTGTGTCTTTACCAAAATATTATACAACATAATGGGAAATAAAAAGGTAAGAACAGAATTTGAAATCTTGTAAAATTAAGATAGCCCTTAGTTGTCATGTAAAAGTATAGTTTTTATTTTTAAGTATTTACCTTTTTCCTGTAAAGGGACAGAATCTGCATTTGACTACATCCTTAAAAGCAGGGGAATATTTATTTATTCTCACAATTTTTCTGCTTTTAAGAAGATACTACAAGAGAATGTAAAATGACAAAATTACTCAGTTATGAACTTTTGGCAAAGTAAAATGAATAAGTATTTAGCTCACTGTTTACAAAGAAAATATTTTCTCTTACAGTACTGAAAAATGCATTAATTTTTGTCTTTGGATTTTTCTAAATCTTTCAAAGTTTCAATAATAAAGATGTATTACTTGCATAATTTTAAAGGATACAAATAATATTCTCAAAATTATTGGTCCCTACCTTCTCGGGCCTCGTACATATCTAGTCATTGAGGCTGCAACCCATCATTTCCCTGTCATAAACTTCTGATACTCCTTGATTGATCCCTGGGCCTTATCCTGAACAATTCCCTGAAGGCTTTCCAACTCTTTCTCTTGCCCAGCTGATGCCTGCCCTAGCACTAGCCTTCATCCTTGGTTTTCTGTTAACATTGTAAATTTGCATCTAGAGGAAGAGCTGGCTACTGAAATTCAGATTGCTTGACTAAAGTCCTGACAACCTGTTTGGTTATTATCAGATTCTTCTCCATGATGACTAGACCCTATAACTTGTAACCTCAAGCAACAAGCAGTGGCCATGTCAAATTAACATCACCTGGACTCTTCCACCCTACCATCCACCAAATTGAAACCCTTTAGATATTGTTGCTGGCTCAGGTCAGTTCTAAATTTTTCACTTTCATTTCCATTCTTTACTCAGTTGGCCATACTCAGGCATTACTGGCTCTCTATAAAGCAATCCCACTTTCCTTGTCCCTCAGGGATAGCACATTCAGGCTGTAAGAGAAATGATCACTATAACAACAGTTCCATAGAGGCAACAATTAAACATTGAGAATACAGACTAAAGTTGCTCTAAGTGGTTCATTCTTATTTTGTTTTATTTTGAAGTATGGACTTTTTCTTTTCCTTCTTCTCTAAAGCCTGCATTTCTTTAATTCTTTCTAATTTTTATTAGCTTTGGGGTATTCACTTGGCTAGTCTATTCTTATTCACTTCCTCCATCCTTACCAATCCATGTTTGAAAATACAAAAAAGATGATCAACCTAACCAGCAATCCAAAAAGTGCAAATTAAAACAATGAGATTATTTTTTTAACCCATCCAGTTAACAGAGTGGTTTTGGCATTGTGGTAAGTTCTTGTGAGATAATCTTTCGTACTCACTCTTTAAGGGGCTGGAAGTTACAACAACCCTTTGGAGAGCAATTTGGAAGTATGTAATGAAGAGATATTGTAAACATTTCATCTTTTGATGCAGAAATTTCACTGATGGAATTAATGTAAATAGAGATTCACAGATTCTTCCCTTCCTTCAAACACCTGAGCTCCTCTTAGACTGGTAGAGTGAACTTTCCTGCCTTTGCTGTGTAGAAGTTCTTTATCTTCATGGTCACACCCCATGAAGGACTTTCAGATACAATCTACTGGAAAAGTCTCTGCATTTACAATTTACTCTATTACTGCTGCTTACTGTACCCTGTCTTGAGGCGCTAACACAGCAAGTGGACCAAGTTAATGTTAGCATTTGATCATATAAAAGCATTATGGTCTTGCTTCATGCTGTTAATTTGATGATGAAAATAAACCTAAGTAAGATTTTCTAAGTTCTTGCTAAGACCATGATATCATTCTAATAAATTAATTATATCATAGATGTATTTTGGCATGTATAATTTTCTATGATATAAATGGGCACTTCATTTTGTTGAGAGGACATGACTTCTTGTTAATAAATCTTATCATTTAGCTTAGCAGTAAATCAAGATCCAGACCAGTAAAGCCACGGAATGATAATTATGTCTTGGCTGTGCTAGTTATTGAGACTATGAATAAAAAGTTCCCTAAAAGTCCTCTCATGAGAAAGGAAAATCACTAATATGACACTGTCATCTCTTTCTTGGGTCACTGTGCCTTTGTATAGGAATGAAATGTTCCCTTTACAAATATATAATACACATATTAGAATAAACTTCGTAACTTAAATGCTTTTAACATTCAAAAAAAGTGGATAGCAATTTGTGCCCGTACTTAATTATTTTAGAGTATGTAAAAAGCACATAATAGAATCAATAGTTGCTATGCAACAGGATGGCACATTTTAAAATAAACTGCATATTTACTAATTGCCATGGATTTTTATTTATTTCAAGTATTCCTTTGATGTGAAAAAAATAAATTAATGTGCATACTGAACATTTAAAATTGGTCCCAAATACGCATGTTGTTGCTTTTCAGTTAAAATTTTTGTAATTATGGAATTTCCTATAGCCAGACTACTGACATTAAGTGATAGTCATGTGTTGACTATTACTTGGTAGTGAGATAAACAAATTCCAACCAAATATTTTGTTAGATTATTATTAAGATATCCTATTTAGGAACATTTTAGAATTGTACTACTATTGACCTCATTTTAAATAGTACATAGAACGTTTAAAAACCAATAGTTAAAACAAACAAACAAACTGAACATTACTTCCTGGCTGAGCAACTGGATTAATAGTGAAAATGCAGGGGGGCAAGGGTAGTTGGAGTTTACCTCAAGAAATAGTCAATTCCAGCACCAAAGGGAAGCAAACAGAACATCTAAAATTCTTCTTCAAAATAGAAGAGCCAAATGGCTGAATAATTCCTAATGTGTTTAAGTGTACTATTAATGGAATTTAGAAGGATAACTTGTAAAATAACAGAATTTGACAGGGATGAATTGTCATAAAATATAAATTTTCATTTATGCATATAAATGCATGGCTAAAAAGAATATTGAGAGCACACTTTAATTTATAAAATTATAATGTAATTTTCAAAATTGAACTAATAAAATCACAACATTTTAGATCTAGAATAGCCTGCAAATATCATCTGATTTAAACCCTTAATCAAGATAATAAGAATAGTCTCCATTATTAGTGTTTATTATATACCAGGCCTTGTGCTTAATGCTTTCCATAAATGTAATTTTAATTATTATAAAATTATTATTCCCATTTGCACATGGAAAAAAATAAGGCTCAGAGAAGTTAGGTAAATTGCCAAAGTTATATAGCCAGGAAATAACAACTGATACAAACCTGGAAAAAGAAGGAGAGCTAACTACAAAATCCAAAACTTCTGCATTTGGCCTAGATGGACGAATAGGAGCCAGATTTACCCTCTCTCCTAACTAACTAAGCCACTGGAGAAAAGATAGAAAACAATGGTTTCCAGACACTAGATATCAGACTACAAAGGATAATGATTCTTAGAGATAGGAGACAAATGGGGTAAACTCTGTGATTGCCCAAACTTAGTTCCTTGAAATAAATTTAAGGCCACAGTGCAGGAAGTGTGAATCTAGGTAGTTTGGCAGGTTCTTTGAGTTAAGGAGACTAGAGAGATCAAGATAGCTACAATTCACAGGATGGTGTTCTCAGGGGAGAGCTGCACACAGAAAGAATGCTGGAGATCTACAAAGAGTCCCCATTAAGTATATGTATGGTCAGTGCATATGTGTGGGGAAACTACCCAAAGGCAGGGAAAGACCCATCTGAAAGGATGAGAGAGGAATACCATGTGCTCACACAAGGCCAGACTGGAAGACCTATAATTCACAGGGCACTGGGTAGATACTTCTCAGAAGGTTCTTGCATCAGTAGTAGGAAAACATTAGCCCTAGACTAAATGCTGAGCTGATTGTGCCTAACAAATTTTAAAAGGAAGAACTATAAAAATCAAGCTGACTCAAAGAAACTTAACAACATCCCAGAAGAGAGTTCAATAATACTCATAGGAATATAAAAATATCCAGCATCTAACAAGGTAAAATTTACAATGCCTGGCATTCAATCAAAACTTGCCATCCAAAAGGAAAAGGAAAACAAGACTCATGATGAGAGAAAAATCAGTGAATAAAAACTGACTCAGGAAGGCACAGATATTAGAATTAGCAGACAAAGACGTTAAAACAGTTGCGATAACTATTCCATTTGCCCAAAAACTAGAGGAAGAGGTGAGCATGTTAAGTAGAGATATGTATTATATAAAAAAGATCTAAAGTGAACTTCTGAGATGAAAAGTACAGTATCTAAGATAAAAAGTACACTGGATGGGATTAGTGGCGGATTAGACATTCCAGAAGAAATGTTTAGTGAACTTGAAGACACACAACTGAAACAATCCAAATGAAATAAAAATAGGAGACTCAAAACAAACAAGAACATCAGTGAGCTATGAGACAAATTCAAGTGGACTAATATATGCCTAATTAGAATCCCCAAAGGACAGGAGAGAGAAGAAAGGACAGAAAAAATATTTGAAGAAATAATGGCTGAAAAAAATTAAGATTTAATGAAAACTATAAACCACACATTCAAGAAGCTCAACAAACCTCAAGCACACCAAGGAGCATTCTAATCTAATTGCTCAAAAATAGTGATAG